AAAACAATCCCTAAATGAATGAGCTTAACCCAGAATCAGTCTGGGTGTTTCCCTGAGTTCACAGGCCTCCTACTGATGGCTTCATCCTTGTTACCATTTGCTTGTTGATCCTGGGAACACATTGGTGCTCCATCTCTTCCTGAGAGGTTGCCAGGGAACCCAGGCCTGGATGGAGAGGCTCTGGACCCACTGAAGAAAAGGTTAACCCAACAATCAAAGCAAAATTGCATTGCTTAGATTACAAATGAACTTGAACTTTTTGTTTCGTGTAGTGAACAGCCATCAGTCCTGTTCGTGCTGCATGGACTCGGCAGCCCTGTGTTGTGTTCTTCAGTGGGTTCAGCCCCTCTCCATCCAGGCCTGGGTTCCCTGGCAGCCTCTCAGGAAGAGGTGGAGCACCCATGTGTTCCCAGGATCAACAAGCAAATGGTAACAAGGATGAAGCCATCAGTAGGAGACCTGTGAACTAGGGGAAACACCCAGACTGATTCTGGGTTAAGCTCATTCATTTAGGGATTGTTTTCTTTCTATTATTTTCTTTCTTTCTTTCTTTCTTTCTTTCTTTCTTTCTTTCTTTCTTTCTTTCTTTCTTTCTTTCTTTCTTTTCTTTCTCTCTTTCTTTCTTTTCTTCTTTCTTCTTTCTTTTTCTTTTTCTTTCTTTCTTTCTCTCTTTCTCTCTCTTTCTTTCTTGAGGAAGAGTCTTGCTCTGTCACCCAGGCTGGCATGCAGTGGCACGATCTCAGCTCTTTGCAACCTCCACCTCCCGGGTTCAGGCGACTCTCCTGCCTCAGCCTTCTGAGTAGCTGGGACTACAGATGCCCACCACCATGCCTGGCTAATTTTTGTATTTTTAGTAGAGATGGGGTTTCACCATGTTGATCAGGCTGGTCTTGAACTCCTGACCTCAGGCGATCTGCTCGCCTTGGCCTCCCAAAGTTCTGGGATTACAGGTGTGAGCCACCGTGCCTGACCAGGGATTGTTTTCTTATTCGCACTTCTTTCAGTTTGTATTATAAAAAATCATGCTCACATCCGTTGTGTGGCTTATAACTATCAGCCCCGCTGCTGCTGCCTCACACGGAGTGCCATGTGTATGATGTGATCTCAGTTCTCACAGGTCACCTCATCAAGTCCTCAGCACAGCCCTTCTTTGGTAAGTGTTCATTTATCTCCATTTTACCACTGAGGAGTCTGGCTTCCAGGGAGGTGACATGACCTACCCTAGGTCACACCCAGAAAATGTCTGTTTTTCTGTTTTATTTTATATTTTATTTTTATTTTTTGAGAAAGAGTCTTGCTCTATCAGCCAGGCTAAAGTGCAGTGGTGTAATCACAGCTCACTGCAGCCTTGACTTCTCAGGTTCAAGTGATCCTCCCACCTCAACCTCCAGAGTAGCTGGGACTACAGGCATGCACCACCACACCTGGCTAATTTTTGAATTTTCTGTAGAGACAGGGTTTCACTCTGTTGCTCAGACTGGTCTCAAACCCCTGAACTCAAGTGATCCTCCCACCTTGGCCTCCCAAAGTACTGGGATTACAGGGGTGAGCCATGGTGCCTGGCCTGTGTTTCTATTTTAAATATGAGAATACTGGGTTCACACAGAGGTAAGGAGGCAGGAAGAAGGGCTGAGACTTCCCAGACTGTGTGTATCCACTCGAGGTGTCTTTGGCTCAAGGCTTTTAATTTTGTGGTTCTCAAACCACAGTGTGCATTGGAATCATCTGAAGGATGCTTTAAAATGTAAAACAGAGATAGCTGGGCCCCAGTCCCAAGGGTTTCTGGTTCCCAAGGCCAGGGTTGTGGCCCAAGAATTTCTGTTTCTAATGAGTTCCAGGTGATGCTGACATGGGTGGTCGGGACCCCACTTTGAGAATCACACACCCTGACCTCTCCTGGGTACCCCGGAGACAACCATTATCACACCCTGAGATGGGGAAGCTCCTCCAGTAGAGGAATGGCTTCATTGGGTTCAGTGGATAAAAATTTCATAGGCTGTAATTACAAGGGCACCCGGCAGATCCCAAGAAGAACAAGTCCAAGGTGTCAATGAGGTCTCTGGCCGCTAGCATGCAGCCCAGATGGGGTGGGAGGCCTGCCTGCCTCCTGAGGAATTGCCAGGAATGGGAAGGAGTTTTTCCTCCTTAAGAAGGGATTCATGTGCAGTGCTGGAATCTGGGCCCTGTCTAGAGATGATGCCCAGGCTCAGCTGAGGCTCTAGCAATGGGCAGGGTCACTCCCAGATACTTCTCAGGACACTCTTCAGAAGATGAGCTTACTTGAGGGTCAAGTGAAGGGTAGTGGGGGACATGGACTAGAGTCCAGCCTGAAAGGTTCTGGTAATTTCCTCTGCCCATCCACACCCACAGATCCCCCCAGTCATGGGAGATGATTCAGAGCTAATTTTGAGGCTCGGCAGCGGTAAGCAAGTCTCCCAACGGGGTCTGGGATGAGTGATGCCTCTCATGGGGGTTCTTTCTGGAGGGGCCTGGAGAAGACCTTCCAACATCAGCACTGCCTGCCTGCAGCAGGACCCTCTCACCTGATTTCAGGATCCACCTTCCTTTCTCTTTTTCCTTCCTACAGATATTTATTTATTCCATAACTATTAGCTATTTATTGAACCAGTTACTTTGGGCAGGCACTGACAAGACACTGAGGACACTGCCACCAACAAGACAGAGAAGATCCTTGCTTTGCATACGCCGTCAAGCATGGGGAAAAAGACAATCAATCTAGGAACAAACAAACTATTGACAGATTGACGAACATAAACCAGATGCTGTGGGAAGACAACATTTATGCTGAGAGCTAAAGGAAGGGACGAGCAAAGACCCTGGGGTTGGAAGAAACAGGAGTGTGTGAGGAGCTAAGCAGATGGCAAAGTGACCAGAGCATAATGAGCAAAGGGGTGAGGTCAGAGAGATGTCAACAGGGATCAGACCATGAAGTGTTTTGGAGGCCTCGGAAAGGAGCATGGATGGTATTTAAAATGCAATGAGGGTTGGGAGGCTGAGGCAGGTGGATCACCTGTGGTCAGGAGTCTGAGACTAGCCTGGCCAACGTGGTGAAACAGGATCTCTACTAAAATTACAAAATTAGCTGAGTGTGGTGTCGTGCACCTGTAATCCCAGCTACTCGGGAGGCTGAGGCAGGAGAATCACTTGAACCTGGGAGGCAGAGGTTGCAGTGAGCCAAGATCGAAGCCATTGCACTCCAGTCTGAGCAACAGAGCGAGACTCTGTCTCAAAAAAAAAAAAAAAAAAAAATTGCATTGAGGAGTCTAGGCAATGATCCTTAGTGTCTGCTGAAAATATTATGTTAAAAGCTGATGGCACAGTGGCTCATGCCTGTAATCTCAGCACTTTGGGAGGCCAAGACAGGAGGACTGCTTGAGCTTAAGAGTTCAAGACCAGCCTGGGCAACATAGTGAGACCTCATCTCTACAAAATAACCTTAAATGAACCCAGCTTGGTGGTGCACAGCTGTCGTCCCAGCTACTCAGGAGGCTGAGGCAGGAGAATTGCTTGAGCCCAGGAGGCAGAGATATATCACCTGAGCCCCGATTGAGCCTAGCACCACAGAGAGAAAGGCCACTGGACATAATCTGATCAAGACTCTAGATCTGACTACCAAGTACAGGTAATACAGTGGACAGAGAGCAGAACATGTAAAATGACATCATGAGGAAGCAATCAGAAAAATCCAGCCTGCAGAAGCTCTACAGAACAACCACTCAGTCCATGCGACAAATATACTGCAGAAGGGAAAAGAGACAGAGTGGGGACCTGTGAACTAAAAAAGACTTTGGAATCATGTCAACCAAATGTAGTATGGGGATAGTGGTAGATTTTATCATAATGGACCTTAATGAATCACACTTCCATGTCCACACCTCTTCTGCAATGCTATATTGCTTTTCTTCCTATCAAGAGGTGAAACTATCCACTGGCTTGAATCTGGGCGTCCCTTGTGACTTGTTTTGGCCAATAAAATGTGACAGATGTGATGTGAAAATTCCAGAGTCTCGGTTTTAAGAAGCTTGTAGCTTCTTTTCTTGCTTTCTTGGAACCCCGAGACCACTGTTCTCTGAAGAAGCCCACACTAGCTTCCTGGAGGATGAGAGGCTACGTGGAGAACTGAAAGACATCCCAGCCAATTGCCAGCACTAATCACCAGCCATGTGAGGGACACCTTGGACCTCCCAGCCCCAGCTTAGCCAGCAGATAACTACAGCAGCTGCATGAGAGTCCCAAGAGAGACCGGCAGAAGAACTACTCTGCAGCCCTGATGGTGCCAGCTCACTGGCCCTGCTCCCCTGAGGGACTTTAGCCTCCAGGCCCCCAGCCTCCATTGAGCCTCCAGGCCAGTGGCTGAGTTCTGGGTGTGACAGAAAGATTCCGTAGGGACTCTTCATCCCCTGGAACAGGCCTCATTCAGTCCCAGAGGAAGGCAGGAGGAGAGTTTATGAGACAACATCATGAGTCACCCCAACTAATGACTTCCCAGAAGAGCTGTGGTTGGACACTGAGCCTTCCCTTCGAAGCAAGCCTGGGGAAACACACACCAAAGCCTGGTCCTAATTCACAGACACACAGAGCAGGGCCAGCTCTGCTGCAGCATCATCATGGGACCTTGAGCAAGTCATGGAACCTCTCTGACCTCCAATTCAAACGAAACTAACACCTTAGGGTAATTCAATGAGGGTTTAAAAAAATACAAAAGGAAACAAATGAGGCTAATACCTAGTGACTTACATCATGGGATGGCTCAGAGAGCTAAATAAAATAACAGATGTGGAAGTGCTTTGTTAAATGCTATGCAGGCAGGACAGCTGATCACGGGACAGGAGGCGGCAAAGGTCGAGCAGGAACCTCTGCTTTGGATGTTCTGCTGAATGTGATGTGCCTCTGCTCCTTAGCCCTTGTTCACAGTCCCCCTTCATTCTCTCTTTCTCTACGGCCTTCTTGCCTTTCTCAACTAAAGTTCCGTGGAGGAGATGAAGGGGAAAAACATCAAAGAGTTTAAGGGCATAATAATTGGGTTCCAGCTTTCGGAAAACAAACGGTGCACTCAGAAGGGGTTTAAGTGAATAGAGTTTAATGGAAGAGGGGAGCAGTAAGAGAACCAGTTAGAAACGGTGAAGCACCCAGGGATTCACAACCACAGGAAACTGTTACCATTTGCAGGCCTATGAGTGCAAGGAGAGGGAAGAGCGTTACTGTAGTCATGCGAGCGCTAGAGCCATGAAAGGGGACTCACCCAATAAGAGCAGGCTGTGGCTGTAGGAAAAAACAGCTGCTGGAAGAATTGGGCCAGGCAGGAAGGGAGTCAGAAGACAAATACCCTGACCTCTCTCTCTGCTCCTGCCCTCCCATCTCCTTTGTGCCTGGCATTGGCTGAACCCAGCTAGAAGCCAGAAGACAAGGGAACCAGGGCAATGCAGAACTTAGAGGTTAGCCTCTGGGGCACAACAGCAGGGCCAAGAAAGTTGGAACCTAAATAGGGTGGGGGGGTTAATAAAGAATAACCCACAGTGGAGAATGAGTTATGGGCAAGACAGGGCATGAAGTACAAGATCAGGGTTTGAGTGGTTTTAGGCTGAAAGTCTTGGATCAGTGCATCCAGTTGCAACTGGAGCTGGAGACATACTTGGGGGACCAGGGCATGGTTAAGATTGGGATGCGGAGGGTCTCATTAGTGGTGAGAAATTGGTAATCTCTTCTTTGCCTAAGGTCCTGACCCACATATTCCTTTGGTCCTAGGGGAGCCCTCCCAGCCTCCCAACAGCAGTTGGCCCCTAAGTCAGAATGGGACTAACGCTGAGGCCACTCCAGCTGCAAACCTCACCTTCTCCTCCTACTACCAGCACACCTCCCCTGTGGCGGCCATGTTCATTGTGGCCTATGCGCTCATCTTCCTGCTTTGCATGGTGGGCAACACCCTGGTCTGTTTCATCGTGCTCAAGAACCGGCACATGCGTACCGTCACCAACATGTTCATCCTCAACCTGGCCGTCAGTGACCTGCTGGTGGGCATCTTCTGCATGCCCACCACCCTTGTGGACAACCTCATCACTGGTGAGTGCAGGCAGTTGGCAGCAGGAGTGTCCCCCATCCCCACTTCAGCTTCTCAGATAAGGCCAGAAATCGAAGCTTGAAAGACAGACATCATTGCTGGGCTGGCCTCTTGGCCATGCCGTGGCCTCGAACTCTTAAGACAGTCTTGGAGCTGAAGAGTTAGACTAGAAATAAGAGATATAATGAATTCCCTGTTTTCTTTGTGCCTGGCATGATGTTACTTTTCATGCATTATCTTAATTCATCCTCACAACAATCCGATGAAGTAGAGTTTATGGTCCTCCCCATTTTATGGAAGAGGAAACATGCTCAGAGTGGTTTAGAAACTGGTCTGTAGTCACACAGCTAATAGGTGTCAAGGTCCACATTCTCACACCCATACTTCTAATTATTGTATTATACCATTCAGTCCCACTCTCTCATGGAGCTCCCATGGGCAGAATTAGAGCCAATGGGGAGAAGTGGAAGGGAGGCAGGTTTCCTCTGAGTCAGGAACTAAAACTCCACTCATTTGAGCTGGAAATTGATCAGGGCACAGAAGAGAGTCCTGCCTGTAAGTAATGAGCTCTCCATCCCTTGGAGTGTCTAAGCAGGGACTGGCCGGCCACTCAGTGGACCACTTGACCTCTAAATTCCTGCCTGTGCATCCTGCAGATGTCAGAACAGCACCATCTACTCTCTACTCTCTCATGCGACTGGCCTTTCTTGTTTCAGAATCAAGTTTCCACCAACCTGAGACTCCAGGTGAGGGACTGCTTTTCAGAGATACAGAGACCCCTAGAGGTCCTAGCCTGCAGATTCTGAGCTCAGAGCTCCCAGCAGCTCACTGGTCCTCAGGATCCAGAGCCATTCGGAGTGAGTTCACTGACTCAGGGCAGAGGGAGCCACAGCCCGGGTTTCTGTAGGTTCTAGGACCCAGGAAGTGGAGACAGTGCAGAGTCAGCTCCCCTCCACAGTACTGGCTCTGTCTGGTGGAACCGTTACCCACTGCTGAGTCCCAGCTTCCTTTGCCGATGCTGAACATAAACTGCATCCCTCTCCTTTCCAACATGTAGACACACACACATGTGTACTCAGGCACATATGTGCAGAGATGCATATATGTGCAGAGATGCACACATGCATACACATAAATACATGCATACCAGTCAACAGTGATATAATGAGGTCACTACCTGGTTAAGGTGGTGTCTCTCAGTCTTTTTCACACACTCATATTCAAAATATTGTTTGAATACATAAAACATTCAGATGGTTCAATAGTCAAAAGCTACCAAAGTTCTCTAGTGAAAAATCTCCCTTCTGCCCCTGTCCTCTGGCGTCCCGGCTCCTATCCCTCCTGGGAGGCAACTAATGTTGCCAGTTTCTTGTGTCTCTTTCAAAAAATATTTTATGCGAGTGCAAGCAAATTAAGCACATGCTAAGGTTCCAAACAGTCCCGTACTTTTACTTCCCACCACACCCCACTTAAAAATATATCATGTACGCTGTAAAAAAGATTCATTAAAATCAACTTACATGTTGTTATCCCATATTAATAGATAAAAGAGTTTCTCATTCTTTTCACCAACTGCTTAGAATTCCATCGTATGAATGTACTACAATTGATGCTGATTTGTATTTATGTTGTTTCTAATAGAATCTTCTGCAATTAAATAAAACTTCACACAGCTTCCTTTTTTTCTCTTTCTTTCTCTCTCTCTCTTTCTTTCTATCTTTTTTTTTTTTTTTTTTTTTTTTTTTTTTGAGTCTCACTCTGTCACCCAGGCTGTAATGCAGTGGTGTGATCTCGGCTCACTGCAACCTCCGCCTCCCAGGTTCAAGCGATTCTCCTGCCTCAACCTCCTGAGTGGCTGGGATTACAGGCGCCTGCCACCACACCCAGCTAATTTTTGTATTTTTAGTAGAGACGGGGTTTCTCCATGTTGGTCAGGCTGGTCTTGAACTCCTGATCTGAAGTGACCTGCCTGCCTCAGCCTCCCAAAGTGCTGGGATTACAGGCATGAACCACTGCACCGGCCTCTTTTTTGGAGACAGTCTCACTCTGTCATTCAGGCTGGAGTGCAGTGGCACAATCATGGCTCACTATAGCCTTGACCTCCCTGAGCCCAGGTCCTGGGACTACAGGCATGTGCCACCACGACTGGCTAATTTTTCTATTTTTTGTAGAGATGGGTTTTTGTCATGTTGCCCAAGCTTGTCTCAAACTCCTGAGTTCAAGCCATCTGCCTGCCTCAGCCTCCCAAAGTGGTGGGATTACAGGAGTGAGGCACCATGCCCAGCTTTTTCTTGCTTTTGTTTTGTTTTGTTTTGTTTTTGAGACAGAGTCTCGCTCTGTCACCCAGGCTGGAGTGCAGTGGCTGGATCTCGGCTCACTGCAAGCTCCGCCTCCCGGGTTTACA